CCAGGCCATCCTCCAAACCTGGTTTCGGTGGAAGTACATCAACCAAAGTTAAACTAGGAGGGCCTGCTCTTGATGAAAATGTTCACAATATCGTTGGAATTTAGTCACTTTCCAGCTTAATGGAAAACGTTGTTAATTATCCTTCGGTAGAAGGGAGGTCTTTAAACATAAGATTAAGAAGTAGCGGCCAATCTGCCACACTCAGTAATTGTCCAGTTAATAGAAAGACAAGTCAAAAAGCGCGTGATGAACTTTTTCATCTCATTGAACCTGATTAATAAGTTCAAGTATGGCTTGCTTCACAAGCGGTTGTTCACCACCTGTCAATTGCACTATCTAAACTACAATGCAAAATCTATCGATTCCGACTGAGCAGTAGTAATATTCTATTGCCGGACTTACACTAAGCATTCGGTCGGTAACTCATAAGCGGTTTTCACAAAACTTGCTTTTGGGATCAGAGACCCTCTACTAGGTTGGCTATCGTCATGTAGGACTGGTCGCCACTACGTGTTCACTCTGGGTAATTATCGCTATTCTCCACGTCCCATCCCTAGTGGGGTCATCGAAGGGAGCGCCCGCGGTCCTTCACTGTTACTGCTCTACAGCGATGATATCACCACATCTGTCAAATATGGTTGGCCATTTTTACTCTCCGGTGATCTAAAAATGGTCCATAAGCTTCAGCGTGACGAACTTCACGGAACGCTATTGTTCATTCAAGATGACTTATAGTTCCATGAGGCATGGTGAGACTAGTGGATGATGAACCTTTTGGTTAAAATGATTAAACATCATGTCCCCGAAGCATTTATTGTACTGAATAACGAATATTCCCTATACAGCTGTATACTTGAGTTCTCGGAACTAGGTACTCATCTACCTAGTTTCTCCGAACAGGCCCAACACCAAGTAGCACGTGCCAGACAATTTGAGTGCATTATATCCAACCAAATCTATACAACCTCATTCCCAAGTATTATGGGATAATACGAGATACCATGAGAAAAAGAGACAGAATTGCTGTGGAACATCTGCAGATTTTTCCCTAGATATCTGATTAGTAAGCATGCTACCATGAATTATCGTTAGCGTTTTAACAAATCACTGGATGCGACGATTAAAACATAACTTGCTGCTGCTTATCGACCTGTTAAGCAAGAAACCCTCCCGAGCTGCTTACAATCCAACTTCAAGGTAACAACAAGTTTTGCAACAAAGATTGTACACTGAATATACGAAAGGTTAGAACAAGCATTCGCTCAAATTTCTTTCTGGTCAGATATAAACTGCCAATCACACCGGTCATGTGACAATACGGCAACATTTAGTAACAAGCCCTAATGTTGGCTTGATCTAAATGCCATAGTGACGATATTCACATGGGAGCCAAAAACACCGTTTCCAAACATTGGATTTTGTCTCAACCACCCACTAGATCACTGTTACATTAATTTCAGGCCTCAAAACTTCACATATGCTTATCGCCCATACAACAGCATGTCACTTTTGCACATATTGGTCTGTGCCGCTATAGACACGAGAAGTGTACGCATTGGATCATAGTTATAGGTGCCTGCAAGTGCGTTCTCCCAGCAAACGTACTGGTAATTAAGATTAGACTTAACCGGACAGCTGCACAATGACAGCAGTAGGGAAGCGCAATCTCGGACGGCCTCTCAGACAAGTCAAGCTCTCACCGCACATATGAAGCCACAAACCGAAATTCCGTACCGCCCGAGACCCCATCACGTTGCGTGAGCGGCACTCATGTCATCCTCCCGACCGATTGGGTCACTTTGTCTCAGCTATGTGTAAGCCTAGTGGTATACGGACAGCTACTTAACATTTTATTCTGTGATAGCGGGGGCGGACACACCGCGCGCATAGGAAATCTCACACAGATGGTTAAGCGTCTGCAAAGCTACGCACAGCGCCCCCAACTACTACACACACAATTACAGCTAGACAAAGATAAGCACGTGAGTTTGACAAATATGCCTGATAGCTTGCGTAGAGCTCCAGTGTAGCAATGTCGAATAGGACCAAACACCCCATGCTCCAATACACGATCAACCTGTGCCGACATGCCATGGACTGATCTGAGTTCGAGAGCTATCTAGAATCTCATTCGATATACTCGTCTATTGGCTGATTTGGGATCAATCACAAATAACAGCACGCATTTATGTGGGTGTGCACATCATTGGATGCAATTTGATTCCTAATGAATTTAGTTGAGCATCCTTACGGAGGAATACGTTTTCCTAACGAGGACTTTGATTCTATTATGAGTGCAGTTGAGCAGGAAAAGGTAGACTTCCCACGAAGGTTCAGGTGATCCAACTGAGGAAACTGACACAGCAGTTTGGTAGAATGGCTCACCAAACTGCTCCACTAACGTTGGTACTTACGTGTCTGAGATGTATTAATGACGATCATTCTCAAGGTATTTCCTGTGTCAAGAAGATGGATGGATGCCAACAGCTACCGGGCGCTGACGTTTTTCATTTCGAGATAATTCCTGCAAGAATGATTCAATCAATCAATGGACTCACAATCTGAAGTATCGAAGGTCCACCGGAAATAGGAAAAAATCGTAGATCAAAGTATTAATCTACAATTTTATGGAATCATTCGTATTGGGCTCACAATTGAGCTCCCAGACGCAACAGTAACCCATCCGATATTTGAACGAGACGAGCTACGGACAAACTATTATAAAATGCTGAAAAGGTTCCCATCCAGGTTCATAAAGCCTAACTTGACTTTACCTCGCATAACACCTGTGTCCGGTATTGGAGATGATTGCAACCCGAGAGCAACTCATTCACCTTTGTCAGGGACAGTTGATCTTACAAACCAGTACAAACTGTTGGAGGGGTTTCGGCGTTGCTCCGCCCAACAGTGTTCAAAGCTGCGGCAGGATTCAGTGGGTGCACGCAACTGATGGGTACCAATAGGACGAAACGGCCGTCTAGCGCTTTCCTTGATGTGTGGTGGCTGTCTGTTTGAGTCTAGCTGCGACGAATCGTCGCAAAATCCCAACAAACCCCCCTATTACTCACTAATAACGAATTAGCAACTTCGGAAGCGTGCACGTCCCCGAAATCAAAAGGTTGAGTGTGAGACAAGCGATCAAGAGAGTGTGCCTATAACAGAGGCAAGTGCTTCAGATTCATAGACAATCTTGGAGTGACGTGAAGTGATGTGGTCAAATTAGGTCCAGGCGACCGACTAGTAAGTAGTCGTAAATGCTCGAAAATTGTGCTAATGATATTTAGGTGCTCAATGCTCATCTCAAGAGAACAGTCGCCATTGCCATCAAGACAAAAACTGACCACGAAATAGCCAAAATGGTGACGTTACAACTGCAACAGGAGACTGAATTACGCATTTGTGGTAGGTGCGAAGGTTGCGATATCGATTCAAACGAGGAAAGGGAGCCGAATATAGAGTGACGCACGAAATGTCATACCATTTGTTTTGTTCATTACACACGTATTTCTCAGTAACATATTATAAAATTAGTGCAGTATTAATTGTATGAGCATGGAAATTTAGTTCAACGTAGTAGATGTTATCACCATTTTGTTTCACAATCTCTTGCAAGCGAACCTATACATTTGTCACAACATTCCTGCTAGTCCTCTGAAATTAGACGGCACAACTGCATGATGAAGGCCCTAAGTTCAGCCGCACATTTAGGCTTTCTTGAGAAGCAAGAAGCAATCACATGGATTGATGTCAGGGCTATACGGGGCCACTGTCTCCCACCATGGTGGCGCTCAGGAAACCGATGTGACATTACCAGCCCATCAAACATGTCATGGAGGTAATCAAGACCAACATTTGCAGTGTGTGGACGGGCTCCATCTTGCATGAACCACTGAGTTTGTAATAAAAGACCTGTTGCCAAGAGTCCTGGTATAAATCTATTTTTCAATATGTCCTCATATCGATCTTTGTTTACCCTCTCATCAAACAAAAGGAGCCAACGATTCCATGGGATGAAATTGCTGCCCATACACTGACCTGTTCTCCATAATTTTCCCTTTCGTGCAGAATGTGAGGATGTGAACTTGCCCAGAAACGAACATTTTGTTTATTCACTACACCATGTAAATGGAAATACGCCTCATCAGCAAACCACATGTTGCACAGAACGTTGCTCGCGGATCTCAGTAGCATAGTGTTCAGGGCGTCAGCCGTGAACTACTAGGCTCTGAGTTCCGCCCCAGCTGGACTCTCCGATTTGTGCTCCATGACCTTTGCCTGTTTGTTCTTGTGATTGAGCCTGTCTCCAGAGCTGACTGTCTAGTGTCATGTTCTGCCGGATTCCATCGATCGAGCTGGCGATCCCCCACCAGTAGTCATGCATTTGTTGCGTCAAATTCAATGTGTCGATCGATTAAATTCATTGTGGAATGTCATGGTTCCGAAAGTTCTCTCGTGTGCGCTGTACTTTCATGCGCCCATTTACACCGCCAACTACGGTTAGATTAAAAACGATGGTCGTTGACGTCCCCGTAGCACAGTGGTCTCAATTACGGACTGGCAACAGTCGAGTTGCGGGTTCGAGCCCTACCAGGGTCCGAATGCGCACTGCTGACGATTCCCGAAGGGATGAAACGCGCGTACAGTGCTTTTCCGGGCATGTGATGGTTATCTGAGTGAGTCTAGATGTGACGAATTTCTACCTATACCATTCAACTCCCCCTACTACTCTTCTGTAATAGATTAAAAACGCAGACACATTATGCTCGGCGCACTCTCACCGAGGCTTCCCGACGCTAGACAACAACGCACTGAGAATGCCACCTCGATTGGTGATGAAATGTCCGAAAGATTTTTGCCACGCTCAGTGAACAGTTCAACCGCCATCTAAACAACGTTGTTTGCTGTGAGGCAATATCAGAGTGCCAACGACCGACTGGTTGAAAATCCCTGTTCTAACAAGTGTACCCTTTTGGCAACAAAGATAGAGAAAGCATAAAACATTAACTGACAGGTCGATAAACTGCTGCCAATAAAAAGGAAACAGAATGATGAGGTCATTTAACAAGCTGTGAGTGTGTATACATAGAAGTGGGTGTACACGGGTCCGTCAAGCATCTAAACTATTCTAGCACGGCCAACAGACTTTCGGCACGAGACTTGGCTCCGGCGTACTCCTCAGAGTCCAAATTATACAGCGGATTACGACATTGTTCCAGCTTCATCTCTTCATCACCCAATGGCTCTAAGCTTACGACAAAATCGAAATGGCCTACGATGTCGCGGATATAGTCTAAACGACTGGACACCTGTTTCCATCTATCCTCCATGGTAGGTGACGAGGATGATTTCACTGAGGTCTTGGGAGCAGGAGGGTTGGCCCCATCATCGGATTCACTCTCCTGACTCATTGGAGAGGAGTACTTGAACTTCTGGACCGGGTCACAGCCGCACACTTCGTCCCGAATGAAGACCTCCACTTGCAGACAGGGACGAGTACGACCCAGCTCAACGAGGACAGCGAGAGCGAATTGACTCGGGTGGACTGTCAAACACAAATCTGTTTGGTACCATAGGTTGATCAGTTCTGTTCCTTCGCGTCGCAATTCGGTAACTAACTCTGTATCACTCAAACCGAAGTACGTTTTGAGATCGGAGTTACGAATATGTTTCTAAAAAGTAACAAAGTGAATATCGGGAAATAAGAGAATTTGGTTACTCATGTAGTGACTAAAAAGCGTCTCAGTTAATGGTCTTTACAAATGCAGCACGAAACACAATCGGGTCAATTAGAGTGGGACGCCGTTAACGGACCATTGGAGTAGATGCCCAACATGAAAAGCTACAAATAAATAGGAAAACATTTATCTCAGAAGATGTGGCCAGTTGGTACACACACGAGAGAGCAACGGAAACAGCTTCAGTCACTCGTATGGTTGATAAAAACCTAGAAAGAAGAGGTACCACAACCACGCCTGCGATTTAAACTAATGCTTCGCTTCCGTGAAGCAACAAGCGGCTATATGCGAATCGAGATATTACAAGGGTAGCCAAACACACCTAATGGCAGTTGCTGGAACTTGAGTTGTACAGGCTGCATGATATTCGCCTGAACCGTAACATGAGGAACCGAATAACTTCGGTCGGTGGCCGGAAGGATTGTATGCCTGGCTTGTAGTTCTTAGGTCCCAGGTTCGAGTCCGCGTAGGGGTGGGAGTCCTCGCTGTATACTCAGCCCACGCGCGACCGGTGGTAGTCGTGTGGCAGCGTAGCGTCGGGACAATGTGTCGGCGTATTGCTGATGACCTGACTAACCTCCTACGAAGAACGACCAAGGAAAACGGATGGGTGGACCCATACCAAGGTAAGTTGCTGTTTTGTACCGACCAGTAAGGTATACGCTGGATGTACACGCGAAGTTTCAAGTTATGAAGTGGAAGAGCGAGACTGCCGTCCAAATGTGGAACATTTCATACACTGGTTAGTTGTAGTAGCACTGCAGGTCCCTGTGTATAAGACACGCAGTGGCATAGCGGAAATCTACTGTCGGAAAAGTGGTCATCTTTTACAGTGACCGCAGTTGTGTGCAATGACAAGCCTTATGAGGACCGTATGAAGAAAATTCGCAACGGCACATCGGTCGTTTGTGCAGATGATTCGCCGGCACAAAAACACAATGGCATACCCACGAGGAATACGAAGAAAGGAAAAGGAGAGATGATCAAACATAACAATGAATGTCCTAAGCGAACATTCAAGACCAAAGTGCATGTGGGCCTAATTCAGAAGGCATTATCAATGAGCAAAGAATCAAAACAGACTCGTATGGTGGCCAAGATGCGATGGCACCGACACGAAGCAACTCTCCCCTCCATGGGCTGAATGGTAATAATACTATCACGGATAAGGTGCTCCCGAAGGTAAGGCAAAGCCGACAGCAGAGCTGAGCGACGGTGTTTGGACGTCTCTGCAAGCCAAAAACTTCCTGGGAAAGTTAGCGACAGAACCATGAAGACCAACAACTTGGGGAATTGTGAGCGGAAACAAAGCAGACACGTGACAACCTCGGGAAATAAGGTTAATGCAACGTAGCGGTTCGTACCCACGAAATCACTGTGCAACGTTTTGCACGCACAAACGAACTCACTGATACTAGTTATCAGATACAGAGGCTAGAGGAACGCGGTTGTCAAGCACTTAGGTAATGGTTCAAAATGCAAGTGCCAACAGGGGAAGCCGGAGGCGAAGACAAGGCTCTCGCAGTAGGGAAAGGAAGTAACGGAGAAAACGAACAAAATTCCGGTATTTCCATTGCAAACAGCCCTCTAATATTTCACAAAGTAATTGCCAGAACCGTTAGAAAATCCTAGCTAACAGATGCAACATACACATACACGGCTGTAATGCTACCAGGAGACTAAGATGAGTACGAGAAAAGCGAATAACGTTTAGATGAGTTTTTGGACACGTAATTAAGTGATGCACCGAATTGCTTTAAAGTGGGTTGATAGGACATAATCCCGGATTAACGTATGCGATTGAAATATGTCATTTCAAGGGAAGTGAACAAAAGGTGGAGTAACGTGCCAAACGGTGTTCACCACTGGTGGTCCACTAAAAACAATATAGCATAATACCAAGGGTTTAAATGAAATGCAACAACTAAAAGTAGACCGCTGTATAAAAACACAAACGCTGTATACAAACACAATATGATACTGATATCGGATCATTTTCGGAGAGTGCAGAACAAGTAATCGCTTAAAGTCCGTCGGCGGCCGGGCCGAGTGGTTGGAGGTGAGATGGTTTTCCAAATCTTGATAAAATTGATCGAAGAAGTTAAACAACTAAGAGCGGAGCATTGAGATGCGACTAACTAATAACGTACGCGCACGGTATAAAGATAATAAAAAGGATAAACGGATGGAAAAAGTAAAAAATACTCAGAAAAGGCTGTAGATGGCGATGTAATTGACGCCTATCCAAGTAGGTAGCACGCATTATTCATCATTATACACGTCAGCTGTAGACGGAAAATACTTCGGCTTTTGTGCAGCAATACAAAAGAAAATATACATGTAACAGAGGCACGCCGGCTGTCAGCAGTAACAGATGGACATCGTTCCGGAGAGATAAAAGCCGGCTCTTGTGCCGTAAAAACAGCGTTATATTAAGTCTACTAAATGTGATCGTGGTTGGAGGGGAGGGACAAAGAAACTCACAACACAAACACCGTTGAGATCGGCTTCTAGCCATTTCAACAAGTGTATTCATCCAAACGCATTCATCGTTCTTCGGTCGCCAACGATGGAGCCGAGAGGCTCCAACTTCAACTTCAAAGTGAGTGTTTTCATTCCGATTGTCCAAGTCATCACTTGGTCACCCCTCCTCTGCTTCCACCCGCACCCTCGGCGCGCAAACAACGCATGTCGCAAGGGTGGTGGGCTGGCATGAGTATCACGTGGCCCAGCCTGGTGCTTGAAATAACGGTGCTGAGCGGTTCGCTTCTTGTTCATGCGCCATACACAAGGCATCCAACAAGTTCATTGCTCACACGGTGTTCCCACCAGTTATGAGCCAAACTGCTAAGGCACCAGTGGTCGAACGTAATTAGTTTCTCTAGGTCAGCCGATCTAATGCCCCAGGCTTCACAACTGTACAGTAGAGTTGAACGTACGACTGCACTGCACATTCTACCCTTCAGGAAGAGAGCGATGTCGCGCCGTCGACATAAGGGGCGAAGGTTAGCAAAAGTGCCTCGAGCTTTTGCTATACGGTTCGTGACCTCACCTTGAATTCCAAATGCGTTCATATAGCTAATTAGCTAGTTGAACTTTTGAACGATTTCTGGCTGATCCACACCAAGGGTCAGCGCAGGAGGCGGTCGCTGCAAGCAAGCAATAAGTAAGTGAAACTTTCCGACTAGTTACTAAATTTACCAGCAACAACTTCCCACCATGGAAGTTCACCAACTCAAGTGCAGTAACAACAGACAGTGTAATCCAAAATAGATCGTCAGTAAACATGTGAAGAGGCTGGCTTGGACGACACAAGCGCTTGAAGCGCCGCATGGATTGGAGGGTTTCGGTATTGCTCTCTCTCTCATCCAGACACTCCATGAACGACTGTTTCCTCCTTGTTTGAACTCAGCAGGTAGAGATGGTCTGAGCTGGGAGTGGAACTTAGCACATGGTGGTTGGTGGTTATCACATTGATCACTAGGCCATTGAACTCCGCGAACAACAGTTGACACAGATAAAATCACTACAGGGATCGTTTTCTCCGGCATCTCCGCGTTTATGCAGACTGACCACGGGACAGAAACCGTGTTCATTCGCAGTGCCTTTATTCTTAGACGTCATTCGTCTACTCATCTTCGAGGTGGAGGCTGGAGCTGACATGGGGAGTGGTCCATCCCTATCCTATCCCTTTGGAACATCAAAGGCTTCCGTGGGAGGTTTTACACCGAGAGTAACGATAAGACAAACGATAGTGTCGAGGTAGGGGTGCTGAATTCAGTTTGTGTGCCGCACTTCAGAGAAAGAAAAACGGATATCGTACAAGATATTATCGCGATGGCAGCAAGTGACACGTGATAAACCACGCTCATCTACTGCGGTTATATCGAACCGATACGTTTTGTAAGACGCAGAAACGCCCTAGTTTGTCTGAGCATCAGGAAGGAAAAAGAAACGCCCAGATGACGGATGAGGAGATAGCCTTTTGAGAATACAAACGAAGACTGGGAAGCGATCCAAAAATGTCATTTTATACTATACGCAAATTTAAATCACTTACTGTGGCGTACGTTCACTGGCTGATTTTTGATAGCTATCTGTTCGGCTTGCGCTTGTCGTTCGTTCGCTATCGTTTGCATCGCTTCTATCTTGGCTGGAGCAAAGTTGCGCTTTTTTCACAATACCCCACACCAATTCTGGGGCTGTTCATCCAGCGCACATACGTGTGATCAGATTGCACCGATGGCGCTGATTGGATTTCCAACCGCTGGTGCTGTCCGTACCGTTCCTTCGGTTGATTAACCACCATCATATCGTGCGCTGTCCGCTCAAGGCGTGTGGAGCTCAGGCAGCTCGCTTGCATTTGCTCACCTTCGGTTTGAAGCAATGCTTATGCAAACACTACTGCAGAGACTGACGCGTAGCGCTGCACGCTTCGGTATGCGGTTTGCGTCCTCAGAGTGTAAGGTGCCGTTGCAGAACTGAACCTATACGTCGCCGATGCTAGCCATCACCGAACAACCACTGGGAGAAGTGGATCGGTTCACGTGTTTTGGTAGCTGTGTCCCCTCTGGCGGTCACATGAGTAAGAACGTTACCTCACCTATCAACAAAGCCCGTGCGGCTTTCCAGAGGCTCAAGCATCTATGCAGACAGCGGGATATCAAAGTGTTAGTGAAGGGTAGGGTGCATAACGCTGCGGTAAGGCCGGTCCAACTGTATGAATCAGAGACCTGGCCAATTCGCAGTGAAGACATTAAAAGCTTAGCCGTGTTTGACAACCGGTGCATGCGGAGTATTGCTCACATCTGGTGGTAACAACGGGTGGGCAACACTGAGATTCTCCAGCTGGATTTCAGCAAGAAGCTTTTTGGTGCCCCACCCGATTGTTTGCTTAAGCTCTGCTGTTTACGTCGGCTAGACCATGTCCTCTA